GTACGGTCACGTGACCACCCATGGTGCTCAGCTACGCGCGCTTCGAACGCGCAAGAGCTCTACTTTAAATAACGCGACAAATTCAAAAAGAGGACAGAATGGACGAACTTGAAGAAGATTAATATGGATTGCAATTGTAGTTTTTAAAAACTTGTTACCCTAATAGCTTTGATCAATAGCGAATAAGGATGCTTAATTGGCATCATATGCAAAATGAACTTGCCGGCCGTGAAACAGCCCCTTTAAGCGTTCAAAATTACTCATTTCTCTTCATCGCCGTACATAAAGCACGTTTCTCAGAATACTGAAGCTATACTCAATTTAAAATAACACGTGATTTCTGCTATTTGTACAGTTCTTTTAATACTTCGGAATATTCGTAAATTGCTTTAATAAGCTCACGGTATGTAGGGCATTTGGTCGGTAAGAAGTTACCCTTGTTAATAAGTTATTGAAGTCCTCGTTAATTCTTTTCCTTGTTATTTTATTATCAGCTTTTGTTTGCGTCAGTCACTCGCTGCGGCGGGGGTTCGAATGAGTTTCTCAGTTCACTTACTCTTTTTGTCTTTGGTTTTGTTCTTATCACGGTCCTCGAAGATGTTGAGGTTTTGATGGCTGGAATTCATCTAATTCTTGCAAGATTATTGTAGCCGTGTCCTAGGCATATTTGCGTTCAACAAATTGTATCATTACCATACCACGTCATAAATCAAAATTTCCTCTAACAACTAGCAAGGATCTTTAGTTTTGAAATGAAAGAGATCAACTTTACAAAGTCGAATGATTTTAGTGTTTTAATCGAATCGCCACTTAGTTATTTCTTAAGTAAGTGAGTGAATCTTGAGGGCTACAGCCTTCTGGTTTGCTTGAATGGAGGAAATGTGTTCATCTCTGTTATCCGTAACTCTTTAAAAACCTGTTAAAACAAATTACTAGTTATTCGCTGAAAATCAAAATTTACCTTCTTGCAACAAATATGACTAAAAAATTCTGGGTAGCTTTTATGCAGCGTCTGGCAGGAGTTGTCCGATTTCCGTGGTCGCTGCTAGATAATGGCTCCCTTAAAACACTTGAAGTTTGATGACGTGGCCTTGAACAGGAAAAACCTGTTTCGCATCTGTTAAACATCTGACGTGAAGGCGAAACTGAGCAATCAAAGCGTCACCCGTCTAAACGTAAGGCCTTTGGAAAACTTTGCTTTGCTTCCAAAAATTTCAGTTGTCATCAACATTACAGTTAGGGATTGATTTTTCCCACCTTTCAAAGTTCAAGATTTGTGAAAAGTGATGGGAGTTGTTGAGTTTTCTCTTTAGAACATCTACCTTGGCTGTATTAGTGCAAGTCCTCCATCATATCAGGTGGTGTGCGCACTACGATTGCGATGCATTGTGGATGCAAAATTTTCAAGACGGCGGCGAAGGTGGAGAAATTTCGCAGGTTATATGCTTTGTTTTTCAATAGATGTATTTCTTTCCTTAGATCGTTTTTCTCAATTTCATAAGCTAATATTTGTTTAGATTTTTTCTGTGGAGAAAAACAAATCTTAATTCTTCATTTCAATCTAAAACGTGGAACACGAAGATTCCTCCTGTAAGAGCATGAAATTTGAACCCAGTTTTTAAGAAGCTATAATTTCCATTATATTGCCCGAAGAAAGTAGAAGTTAGTTTCTACAAACCTTGTTCTACGCTTATTTTTTATCGCTCCCCAACGCGCCCCACGGTTTGTGATACTTTTTCCGAATCAAAACCGGCATGTTTTCATGGGAAAATGTAGCCTCACGAAGAAGAATGTGGCATGTTACTGGGAGTGTTACTGTTGTAATCACAAGCTAATCACAAAATATCGGGAAAGCGACGACTGGTTCCTCCAAACAATAGCATTAGGTAAGCATAAAATGTTTCAAATTGGTATATCAATAGGCTGATGAGTACTCTATGTAGGAATATCTGTTTTTGTAATAGGACTAAAAAAACATAGTAAAATTGCAGTCATACATGTGATTCCCTTTCTGCAGGTATAAAATCAGTAGGGTAAGAATGACAGCATTAAATCAAATGATAAGTTTGATTAAACAGTTAAGCCCTGTGCATTTTGAAACCATCCATGAAAAATGATTTTTGGGAAAAATGCAAGAGTAGTGCAGTGTAGAGGAAGAATTTCATTACATCCACCAAGCTTGCACTTTACTTTTATTCAGAGAAATATGCACATCACTCTTGAGAAAACTAAATCATAATCTACTTCCAAGACTAGTGTGTGTTGTTGTGTGGATGTTATGACTATATTAGTTTCAAGGTATCATGAATTTGATAACTGATTTTACTGCTGAGAAATTCTGCCAGGGAAGCTAGGCAACAAACTGCTTATTCAGTGGTGACTAACCTCTGTAGCAGGCATTTGAAAGGAAAGGGAAAGGGGTTGTGGGCACGAGAGGAATGCGAAGAGTGAAGCGAAGGAGGGAGTGATTTCAACATTCACCTGGTGGATGTTCATAATGCAAAAAACAATAGTCTCCTGGCAGGCATTTCCCTCCCTCCTCTCGTTTCTCTTGCACCAAAAACCCACTTTCCCTTCCATTTGAAATGCCTGCCACACAGGCTAACTGATCTCACTCAATCTTTTTACCCTTTTACACTGGTTAATATATATCAAGCAATTTGCATAGTTTGGTGGCTTGAGGTAAAATATATATTACTTGATCATTGAATGTACTTTTGATATTGGAGAACCAAGGCTGAGAAAATGGTGACCGGGAAAGGAAAAAAAAGTGGAACAATCGGACAGTAAAACCGTGAGACTAAGAACCTGAATTAACCAAGTAAGCCTAAACAGGTTCTTATATAAATAGTAGTTAGCACAAGTGTAGGCTATTTAGGTTTTTTTAAATGGGTTCATATTTTCTGAAGAAAAACTATAGCTAAGGGTATTTGTGTTTCACCTTATTCCTCATATAAAGTCTGCATACCAAATTAGAAGTTATGCGAGAATGGACATAAAAAGAGGAGTGTATTTAATTTCTAATTGTATCAATATAATAATTTTATTTAATTTAAACATTGGCATTTACATTGCAGTTGGAGTGATAAAACATCTTTGTCTCCAAAAAAGATTCTAAATGTTGATTTATCTTTGCTCAAGTGTACAGAATTTTTTCATAGATGTTAAAAATAAGAACCTGTTTCAAATTTTAGGCTGAACAGGTTTTTAGATAGAGGGAGCTAATCTGGCATATTTTAGCCTAACAGGTTCGTAAAATTCAGGTTCTAAGTCAAGGGATTTTACTGTACTACTAGGATCCACTAGGCCCCGGTTTTTCAAACGCTGGATAGCGCTATCCACCAGATAGAAATCTATCTAGTGGATAACGCAATTGGTTTCCCTAATACTTATCTGCTGGATAGTGATTTATCCGGTGGATAGTGCGATCCAGTGTTTGAACAACTGGGGCCAGTGCAATAAATGGTAGACCCAAAAGCGTGCTTTACGGACAACCGCTTAATACAGACACCTTTTCAAAGCTGTGCTCTAGCAGAGCCCGGTGGCCCCTGGTGTCTAACTTTTTGCTCTTGGCTGACTAGAAAATCTCAGACATTTCATACAAATCATATATGCTGGGCAGCCTAGATTTTACAGGTTCAGAGAACTGGGCTCCTTTCAATGTTCATTAGAGCACAGCCTTGCTCATCATTACAGACAGCTTGCTTTGTTCCCTGAAAAAAAAAAACCCTGAATTTTTCTCTAACTTAAATGGACAATTTTATGGTCCCCTCAGTGTCTGTACAACAGGGTTTGACTGTAAATATAATGAGACCTATGACACCATATTTGAATTGGGAAAAATTGGGGGGAGGGAGGGTCATTACAAGAAAGGAAAGGGGTCTCCCGCTATATTGCCTCAGCCCTGATTACAGGAGATTTGTAAACATATATGAATTTCACATTTTGAAGAGGTTTTGTAATACAAAAAAATATGTAATAACATATGTTTTTACATACTGACATAATCCTTAAACAAATAGTGAGTGAATAGCTTTTAAAATCTATTGACTGCATCAGGCTTTAATTTGTAATCACAAATATGCCATTTTCAGTTTCAATCCAGTTTTGAGACATTCTATGACTCATACCAACAAGAAATATATATGCAAATTTGCAGTATTGCTTGAATAAAGGTGTTCAATATTATCTGATAAAGAGGACACAAGTCAATCCTTGTACACAAATACTCTCTACTTTATTTACTTGTCTTCATGTTATGATAAATACAGATGATAAACCAAACAAAATGTAGACTTGGTGCCAACAGAGAACTAAGTCCTTGAAAAGATGTCCCCCTCAACTTCTCTTATTATACCTAGCAAGTGAACATCTTGCAATGCTGAATGATAAAAGAAAGTAAGCTTACTGTGTTTAAATACCGTGGCCGGGTAATCTGAAGAAGCTCCTAGTATTTTATGAGTATATCACAGCTGTGCATATCAGTACCTCTTAGCACTAGTTGCACTGATTTCACGGTGCATTCAAATTTTTCGGCGAACGGCGGGTCTCACCTCCAGTGCTTTTCATGATTGATGCATTGAACAAAGCGATTCTGTGCGGTGAAAAGAGCCAGTCAACGTTTATCCTACGTTCACTAATGCTTCTCTTATGTGGTCTTATGTGAATAGTTGCGAATGAGACTGTTTTTTTCCTTGAGAATTCGACAGAATTTGTTTTTTGAAAGCTTCCGGAAGAGACAAAATCGTACATTTCTACAGCGCAATTAACGAAAATTCACTCCACAGTCGAGATGTTCACTCCACGCCATCTTGACACAAGTGATCAGATTTTGAATACCGCCCATGATGCTTAGCGATCGTAGTGCGCACACCACCTGCCATCATATTGTCAAGAAAACATATTAAGCAATCATTAAATTGGCCGCTTTATCCACGCTTCGTCGGGTAACTAATTAACTTCCTGTACACTAGCAAGTAGCAAACTGAAAAGAAAATGCAATGGGATTAATGCCTACGTCGCGTAAAAGTAAAGAATTTAAGATCGGCGTTGACTTAAGTAAGTGCGTGAATCTTGAGGGCTACAGCCTTCTGGTTTGCTTGAATGGAAGAAATGTGTTCATCTCTAGGACTGGCTGATCATCGTTCCGATTAGGTCTCGGCTTTAACATTTGTTGGAACAACTCGTATCCGGCTTCAGTGTGGAGAAGCGATGTTTTCACACCTTGTTATCATAGATCGAGTTGTAAGTGACATTCATTGCAATAGGCCTCTTCTCTCTCAGTCAATCGACAGTTTGCTGTCTTCGGTTGACTTACCGTACGCGCTAATTTCGACAAATCTATGGAGGATGAGTCGACCGGAATGTTTCTCTGTAACCTAGCTAAAACTTACTAAAAGCATTGCATTTTTCTCAGTACACTTCATGTTATGTCATTGTCATTCAAAGTACGCTGTTAAGAACAGAGGCATCCTATCTACACTTAGTCTCAGTCAGTCGTAAAAGAAAACCTTCTCAGCGAGATAAATAAAGTGTGTACTTCAATCTTTTTTGTTTCAGATGCATAACAAAAGATTTGAACGGAGTTTTGTTTTGTTATATGGGTTCAAGTTCCTTTTTTCTGAGGAACTGCTCTGAAATCATCCGGGATTTTAGTGTAAAGTTGCTCATGGTGCTTTGAACAAGCTTCAGTTGTCGAACAGAGAGAATATATAATGTGTTAAATAACGTTTACCTTAATTTGCGCCTTTGACTGTTGGGTACAACGCCTTCACAAACCGAAGGAAAAATGCGGCTTGAAACCGAATGAGACAACGAAAAGGAGGTTGTGATTGTCCGCATATTGTCTTAGAAGAAAAGGGAGTTTAATTCATGTTCCGACGCCTATTGGACGATGTTCGTATCATAAGGATTATCGATACTCAATTGAAAATCATAAACCCCGGTGAAGCTTTGTTGAATACAAGGAACACAGCATTTGACGAGCTTATTCCAAATTAAAGTGTTTTAGGATCTTATCTTTAGATTGTAGCTTTTAAAAGGAAATGCAAAAGACCTAACTTACGAGTAAAGAGATTCATCTGAATAAAAAGAGCTGGAGATGCATTGACAGCAAGGAAAATTGTTCGTATGTGAATGGTGATTTGACTCAGCACTGTTATTCGTAACTCTTTAAAAACCTGTTAAAACAAATTACTAGTTATTCCCTGAAAATCAAAATTTACCTTCTTACAACAGATGTGACTCCAAAAATTCTGAGTAGCTTTTATGCAGCGTCTGGCAGGAGTTGTCCGATTCACGTGGTCGCTGCTAGATAATGGCTCCCTTAAATCACTTGAAGTTTGATGACGTGACCTTGAACAGGAAAAACCTGTTTCGCATCCGGTAAACATCTGACGTGAAGGCGGAACTGAGCAATCGAAGCGTCACCCGCCTAAACGTAAGGCCTTTGGAAAAGCTTGCTTTGCTTCCAAAAATTTCAGTTGTTATTAGCGTTACAGTTTGGGATTGATTTTTCCCGCCTTTAAAAGTTAAAGATTTGTGAAAAGTGGGGGGCAGGGGGGAGTTGTTCAGTTTTTTTTAGAACATCTACCTTGGCTATATCACAAGTCCTCCATCATATTTTCAAAAAAGTCTATTAAGCAATCATTAAATTTGCTGCTTTCTCCACGCTACGTCGGGTAACTAAAACTTCCTGTACACTAGCAAGTAGCAAATTGAAAAGAAAATGCAATGATCAATGCCTAAGTCGCGTAAAGTAAAGCCGTTTGAGATCGACGTTGACTCTTTTCTTAGACTGATATCAAAGGCGTAGTGTCAAGGTAAAGTATTACACAAAAAGAGATCCAGTTTAAAGGGGTACATTTGGGGGGTACCCAATACCACAATGCCGTAAGAAAAATTTGCAAATACCGAAATTTCGTGTCGCAAATCGACGAAATACCGATACCGCAATGATCGGTCACGCTTACTTTAACGTTGTATCCATCTCGCGTGTTTTTTTAATATCTCAAGCATGTATACACCAGAAATCAACCTTAGCCTTCGCGAGAAAACGTGAGATTTCGAATTGATCGGTACAACGATCGAAAAGCCAGGTTATTGGATGTCCTACCAATTTCATCATAGAGTAACCGTCAGAAATTGCGTATTCATTAACCGTTAAGTCTAAAGTCTTCCAAATATTGACCTACATTAGACAGGAGAGGCCAAATGAACGGTACCGCATACCGTGAAGGATCTTCTTTTACCGAATACCGTTAACCAGAAAGACAAAAAACCGCATACCAGGGCTGGATGATACCGCAATACCGCACATTAAAATCAAAATTACCGAAATACCGCTTGAAAAAAAGTTCAATACCGCAATACCGTAAACCCCCATGTCCCCCTTAGTTTACATTGGTGACGAAATTGGTCGATGGTTACTTTCCCGTGATCGAAATTTTTCGGTTTTCAAAGCATTAGCTTTCGATTCCGTTGTGGAATCTTTGATTGAGTTTGACTCTATTGTCATAGTTTAGGGCGGGTGAGAAACATCGAATTGAGAAAGCAGAAACGGCTACTCGTAATCCAGCGGGACCGGCGATTTGTTTCTTGTTTTTCATTGTCCTAAATCACATGACAAGACGTCATACCCAACAATGAAACACATGATTCGGGAATGGAATTTAGGCAAAAATACTAGCCGCTGTTGGGGGAAGACAGGAACAAGTCTCCGACCTGTGAGAGCGGCGGAATCGAAGTGGAGCCTAGAAGGAATTTACACAAAAATTTTCTTGTTTTAGAGAACAACGTAACCTTATTTATTTGGTTCTAGCTTGTCCTTTTTTATAACGAAGAATGTGTGTGAAAAAATCGCACCTTTTGCCCAACATGAATACAGTGCAGGAGCCTCGTCCTGATATAAGGCGATAAAGAAAGTGAATCATTTCAATTTGATTACCACTAACTGAAGAGAAGAAAGATCGAAATGATACTCCTTTTTTGAAATTAGGCTCCATCCGAGGGTTGATGTGCGCAGGTTCATTTGTCAAACGCGAGTCTATGGTGAAACTGTCCAAAAAAAAAAAAGAAAAAGAAACCTAAGATATAACTTGTGAGAGCCACCTAGGCTTATTAATTTAAAACCAATAAGCAGTTTCTTTCCGCCGTAGCTAAAGTCCGCTCGATCGCAAATGCTTTACTTTTTATGGGCCTTTTATGGCATTTTTTACTACTCTCTAGAGCACAGGAAGTTGAAGTTACCCGCCGAAGCGTTGAGAAGGCGGAAACCACAAATTACTCAAGGCAAGGTCATCAACTTTAACGCCGGTCTGTTATTTTTAAATAACCATAAAAACCATATATTAGACGGTGTTCAACGTAACCGCGTTTTAAATTCTGCCAGTCTTGGTATCTAAACTTTCAACATCTTTAATCTTTAATCTTTAATTGATGTAATTGCCTCGATCTAGCGAGCTAATATGGCAATGGTCGGTCAGTACACGGAAGCTCATGACATTGACAGCGAGATAAATAACAAAATGAAAAAAAATAACTAAATAAATACAAATGAAATAACAAGTCATATGAAAAAAAAATACATAAATACATAAAATAAAATCGTCAAAACATAGCATTATTGCAAATACTTGAATGGAACACAGCAACAGAATCAGCACGTACGGAAACAGGAGACACTCAGAGGAGACAAAACGTTCCAAGCGGGAACAGTTCTTACGAAAAAAGAATACTTGTGCGCGTTAATGGTAGATGAGTAACGCTGGAACTGGAATGGGTGCTGTGCACTACCTCGGGTCAAGTAGGGACTGAGTGCACCGCGCGCAGGTCGTTTGCGAAAAATATCCGTACATTTCCTGTCTTTATCTTCAAAAACATTTTCCAATCGATGATGGGCCCAAGATCTTGCCAACCCAAGTTCGATAAATGACTTTGCATTAACGCTACTGGAACGACAGTAATCGTTACAAACAAAGCGCGCCGCACGACGCTGAACGGATTCAAAACAGATAATGTCCTTTTTACCGGGGCCCAGCCGAAGGCTGGCACCGGTCTTAAAATGCGGTCTGTTTCTGTCTTTTTTTCAACGTTACATTGTTAGGGATATATCGCTGACTGAGATATATCGCTGGCTCACTGAAATCTTATCCGCCATTTTGAAAAGCACGAGGCATGGAGGACAGTCAAGAGAAAGGTTATAGCTTTTTCGTTCCCCAACCTTTACGATGCATTAGTTTATGAGCGAAGGTTTAAGAGTGAATATTTGGAGAGACAAATTTACGAGCGATCACTTAAGAGTTAATCACCTATCAAAGCTATCTACCTGGAGTGAACCTTCCATCGTGAAATTTATCGAGAATCAAAGCGAACACTTATCAAAGCTAACTTTATATCATCTTAAAAAATCGTGCTACAAGGCGATGTAGACGTGCTCGTGAACCGAGCAGAATTCCACTGCTATTTCTTAGAGGTCTCAACAAGAAGATTAGCATGTTGAAGAAATTTGTCTTCAATAAGATTTCAACGATTGACACACCGAAGTCTTCAAAGCTCCATCGCTATGTTAATAAGGTGAGAAAACTTTATCATGCACGCTATAAATGTAATAACAAATGCGATCCAAAGATAATTAACTTAAATAAAATGGCTATACCCAAGAAAGCTTATTTGTTGTCTTTCTTTAGCAGACATTATCAGAGGATAATGAAAAAATGTAAAGCACGTCGATATTTATCATTGTTTTCTTGCAATTGTGTAAGTCATATGACCAATTATTTGATTTCAAACTAAGTAAAGATGTTGAGAAGAATGCCAGGACCTACTCAATACAACACTGATCATCATGAAGTAATAATTAGACCTTTTATGCAAAATCAGAGCTCAACAATGCATTTGATCTCTCCTATTTCCTGTGAGAATTTGATGTAGTCAAGATTAGGTGAACTTGGTTTACAATCAATAGATGTTGACAGTGCAGGTGATTGTTTCTTTAGATCTGTATCGCATCAATTATATGGCAATAGCAACCATCATATGCATATACGTACTGCAGGGGTTCAATTTATGAGAGACAACCCAGAGAGCTTTATTGGAAGCAATACCGAAAATTCATGGCCTAAGATATCTGAATAATATGTGTATTCAAGGTACATGGGCTGATGCACTTATCATTCAAGCAGTTAATGCAGATGCATTAAATGTTACTATACAAATAGTAGAATCTAGTCAAGGCCAGTTTGCACCACTTACTACTGTTTACCCAGTTCAGGAAAGAAATACTTCCTCTACAATTACTATAGGTCATATTGATGAATGCCACTATGTATCAACCACTGCCTTACAATCAAATGCCTCCATTTCAATGTGCAGTGAATTAACAAATTATACTCAGTCATCAATAAATAAGCATTTTATTATGTCCATATATGCAGTTTGTTTCTCTGTCATCAAATCATGCACTTTCTGGGATTCTTCAACACTACAGACTCTCCATGAACATGCATGTTTGTTCTATGAGAAGTGTAATGCAGACCGTGTAGGCAAAATTGTGATAATTCTGTAACAAACTTCTTTGCAAACTTTGTCATTACCATTCAACCCAAAACTGTCAGTGATTTTTGCTCTTTCACTCAAACTTAAAAACAAATAAAAACCTTATACAGATCACACTTATTGACATCACAGTGTAAAAACAGTACTATAACACAGACCGTTATAACAACATCCTCCTTTCTCATGCATTTTGTTGCTTTTCTTCTGCATGAGTTAATTCAGACTAAGTATTAGCCTGTTCCAAGCGTTCAGATAGTGGAGAGCGGTGCGAAGTAAAGAAAGCGATGAAAAGCAGAGGGGGACTGGGGAGAGAGCTGCTCTCTCACCTCTCCCCCTCCCTCGGTTTTATTTTTTCGCACTCCTTTTTACTTCGCAACGCTCCCCACTATCTGAACGCCTGGAACAGGCTAACTAAGTATTAGCCTCCACAGAGGAGGGGGGAGGGGTGCGAGAGGTAAACTATGCAATCCCGTCTCCCACTGGGCCCCGGTAAGTTCCACGTAGTGGTTCTAGTTTGTATATGGACTCCAGGCGACGGAGCCGTACTCGCATACAGGGCGGACCAGGGACAAATAGCCCGTTCCTTGACAACAGCGCTACAAGACGATAAGTTCATTAAGAAGCAACTGGAAAAACGTTTTTATACTTTATATAAACAAGCTTGTAAAAAGATTTGGAATTCCAACGATCGTCTTAAGCCGTCGTTTAAGTCAGATTTAGGGAAGCTATTGTCTAGCAGCGACCGAGAGACCGAGGAGTCAGTACGCGCGAACAGTGGTCTATAGCTATTCAGAGACCTTCAGACTTTAGTCTCACAGCTGAGTCTTATTCTGTCAGATCCATCTTTGATATAAAGTGAAATTTGTCATTCAACTACTAGTGACAAACTCGAGGCGTATATGTCAGAGGACTGGTCACAAATAGCCAAAAGAGAAAATGATTTGATAGTTAAACAACATTAAATTGTTTTCGCATGAAGGTTGCAGCACCACCGAGATTGTGTCCTTCCGGCCTTTACTTTTGTTTCAGTCAAAGTGTTTACATTTCTTGCAGAGGGTCATAAATAACGACAAACCCGGCTGAAAAGGAACCCGAGCATAGACCGGACCTTGAACCAGCAAAACCCCTGGTGTTGTGTCTTCTATGTGGCTATTTTGATTCGTCATGACAGAGGCGACATTTTAGCAGGAAGATTAGACGATCTTAGATGGGAAGTTTTGATCATCTTCCAACCGAGACGAGAGAGCGGATGTGAACACTCTAAACAAGTCAAAGTGCAGTTAATGAACCTTATCTTAGTTATTTGTCAAGAAGCCATGGACTCTGATTGGTTGGCAAAACCGTTAAATTAAATGTACCTCGAGTGCTATGCGTGGAAAATTATGTTCCATATCAAAAATGTACAGGTGAGTGCTGAGGCTGTGGTAGGGTTGTTCCAAAACTGATCATTTTCATCCGCTTTATTAATTTTTAGTTTGGATATTGTTTGATATATTGTTGTTATACCTGGTGGGAAATACAATTAAAAGAGTTTTAATAAAGTTTCCGAAATTCCGTGACCGTAAACGGTTTTGGAGTATTCTTCGAAGGACCGTTCTTTGACGTCAGTGTTTTGCCCCGCAATTTATACCGCTTTGATTGTGCAGCTACTGTCGCCACACTCCGGTTGCGGGTCACTTTTTTTCCTGTTAGGTCCAATCTGTTCAGATGACTTAATAACTTAAGGAATGATTCCTGCCTCGAAGAGATAAACGAAAGAAAGATAATACGTTTCAGTCCCAGAATTTAACAAGAAAGTTAAATTTAAGTTTTTTTAGTTGTCTTTAAGCTGTCTTTTATCGTTTCTAATGATAATTTGTAGGCATAATGTATAATTCAGTCAACAATCAGAACAATCTTTCGCAGAGGAGATACGCAAGGTTGATTTCTGTCTCGTTCGATCAGTGCTAAATTATTTAGACTAAAAAGTTGTTCTCCGAAAATGAAGTTGGTCTTTCTAAACGATACGTTCACTCGTACAATTGATGCGAACAATCCTTTTTGTGTCTTTCTCTTTTGTCTTCTTTTTAAGGTTTCCCCGGTTTTATCTTCATTTAAAAATAAAACCAATGCAAACTGAGTGGTCTTACTCGGTCTGATCCCTATCGATATAAAAGTGAAATTTATTGTTTCTAGTCTGTCATTATACCGCATTCTTGTTCAGCACGCGTGCAATGACCGCGCTTGGCTGACTTCCGAATGCTCACCGAGATATAATAATTTTGGTACAGTGAGACAGGCCATCGCGTGATACATAGAGGTTTAAGTCACAATTTTTAATCAATTCTCGTGCTTCTTGTGCCTTTGCAAAAAAATCAAGAAGTGCTACACACTAAATCTACTTACTATTAAAAAAATATCATTTTTTCATAGGTTTAATGCAAGCCAATAATTAAACCAACTCGTGACGGGAATATCTCGGTGAGCATTCGGAAGTCAGCCAAGCGTGGTCATTGCACGCGTGCTGAACAAGAATGCTGTATAATGACAGACTAGAAACAATAGACAACTCCCAAAGCACAAACTCAGCCAAAACGCTAAAAATCTTCAATGTTTACTCAAGTTTGGGCTTATAGAAGATAATGTCACAGTTTTTCAATGACCATGAAATTCAGAGTCCGGGTAGTTAGTTAATCAATTGTGGCCCTGAAAAAATTTGAAGGAAAAAAAACTACGAATTTTTAAGAAAATGCTTTTTTCGTGAGAAGGACTCTTAAACGCTGACAAACGTCAACAAATAGCGAAAACTATAATTTCTATATGTTTGCTTTGCTCGAAATCGCGCGCATTTACAAGGCCCTAAAGCGTTTTGCTGACTTGCAAGGACCCATCTGTTATAACGATGCCCAAAATAAAGAGATGAATCTCATAGTTTATTAGATATAATCCGTGTAAAGTTTGCTTATCATTTTCGCATAAATTATGACCTAAATTTGGAAACCGCTGAATTTCTCGAATTGGGTCTTTGCGATTTTGGTGAAACTCTGTTCAGCGTAAGGCACTAATGCGCACTATGTGTAGCCGAAAGATTTTCACGAAAAAATGCCGGCAACTGCAGATTTTCGACTCAGACCCCAAAGGGGCGTGGCATTATAAGCACGTGACATTTACTCCGATCGCCAAAAATTTTATGTTATATTGTAGATTGATCTATATGTTATCCATTCTATGTGTTAGACTTACGATAAAAGTGAAGGTGGGGATACCAGAGAGCTTCAAAGTAGGATGGTACCCCCCCAAAAAAACTGGGTCGAATCACCTTAAATGGGCCATCAGACCAGCGACCAAGGAAGTCAGATTAAACCTGTCAGACAGTCAGCTTGAAGAGAAGCTGTAACTGTTTTTGTAAGCAATATATAGCGATTCGGATCAAGCCCCCGCTGGACCTGTGGCGAGAAGGTAAAGTTTGTTTACCAGAAATCTGCAGTTATTTATTTCATGTGATGTGAATTTGTCATTTATGTAGTACCGTGTTGTGCTGAGTCAGATCCGTTCAGTAAAAACCGAACTATTTAAGGGAACATTTTTAAATAGAATCCCTTATTTATGGAATAACAAACCCGAGAAGGAATGAAGACCCAAGTGTGTCATGTTTCAAAAGACGTTGCAGAGAGTTCAATAATAATAAAAAAAAGATTAGGATTTGATTCTAATAGCCCAATATGTTACTTGGTCGCATAGCGGTCATATTCATTATAGTGTTTTTTTAATCATAATTAACAATTTATATCATGGTTATACACTTCTTACGATTCCTTTTTTCTTTCTTTTCATACATGATTACTTATTTTTAAATTGAGTGGTCTGGACAAGCTCGTACGGTTCTTCTGTTACCTACTACTGTAGTCTTTCCCTGTCGCTCTCTTCGCACGGTGTCCGATTATATGTTTGCAGTAAAAATGGATTATATTAAATGGAATTCTTTTACAAAGCTTCCAATTCTCAGGACATTTAAAATATACTGAAAAACAGAACTGACAGAAGGCAGCTACACACACTCACTAAAATAATTAGTTGAGTTCTTGTGATTTTAAACGACAGATCCTTGCTAGTAAACAGGAAGATTTTATTCATGACACTTTGTGACAATGGAGCAAATCATTAAACGCAAATGCAATGAAATGTTACACAATCATTATAGCAATTCACAGTCATGATTACCCTGAAAGAAGTATTGCCACGTCCACTTGAATCCAAATTTTTTTTAAACCGCATACTTTTGTGGACGAATCGACCTTTTGTCCACACGAAACCGGTGAATCCGCTCACCGAAACCGCATCTTTTTGAAACCGTTCTCCAGAGTTCCATTCTCTCCAAAGTGGTTTAAGGTCCCGTCCACCCGAATCCAGATAACAAATATGCAGTTTCAAAAAAAGTCCGGATTTTTGCGGACGACCTGCCTCGATCAGTAGCCTGAATTTCATCCGATTACTTCGAGTCGTTATTACTCCCTCAGTAACGTCTGAATCGACGGGCCGTTCATGCCATCCAGTGACGTCTCTACTCCTTGACCTTTGCTTTAATTAATGCAAAAAGTAAAACACGATTTTCAAGTGGCAAACCTTGGGGACCGAGAAATATCGTTTGGAAATGTCTGCATGACACAGAACTGCTTTATTTTTTCGATTGTAATTCATGTTTAATGTTCCAACTATCAACTGCATACAGTACAACCCTGAACCGGTTGTACTAAATTCTATAATCAAACTCGGTCGCAATCACGCAAATGAAACAAACACATACATGGAACATTTAGTTCAAAAACACAATGAATTGCTTTAATTAGCGAAGAAAAAAAACAAGGAGACAAGAAAGAAAAGCTAACAGAATCATTACACTAGACGGTAAAAATAGCAAGAAGGTCGAATTATAACATTGATCTCAGAAAACTTCGCGTAACCAAAATCACCGGCCGCCCATGTACTTCCCATGTAATAAGTTCACTTGTGTAAAGCTAACAACCATTAATCTTTCCAAGTTTCCACATTTTCATCTTGATTGCGAGTGTTAAAACTAATGAAAGCGCAGCACCTAGACACTGAATACATTCACCTGCTATAAATACATGGGAAGTTGTAATTACGCCGTTGAGGCGTAGAGCGAGACGGCCCCCTGCGCAGACGTTCCTTTAGCTCGTCTTGCACGCGATCGGCTCCCCCAACGGTGAAGGAACGCCTGACGGAACTCTAAGAAGGCCTGCGTAGGATGCTTAGAGCAAGATGATCACACATGCAGAAGCTCTAAATGCAATATCAAAGTAGATAATTATATCTTGTTGAGAAGCCTGACACTATAAAGTCAGTAATATCATGGAACATATTAGAAATTCATATTCATTTAATCATGAGTTATTGGGCAAAAAGGTGTGACTTTTTTTAAAGATTTATTTTAAAAAGGTAAGCTAGAGCCAAACAAATCAAATTACGTAGTTCTCTAAAATCCGAAAATTTTAATGTAAAAACCGTCCAGGCTCGATTCCCGCCGCTCTCACAGATCGGCGCACTTGTTCCCCTGTTCCTCTCTTTCGGGGAAGGAGCGCGGGCTCATTTCCTGAACAGCGGCTAGTAATTTTGCCTAAATTGCATCCCGGAATCTTCTGTTTCTTATTTGGAGTTTGACGTCTTTCATGTGATTTACGACGGTGAAAAACAAGAAAATAAAACGCCGGCCCCGCTGGATCACTACTAGCTCGTTTCCGCTTAATTCGATGTTTCTCGCCCGCCCTAAATTATGACAGTAGAGTCAAACTCAATCAATTAATACTTAAGATTCAACGACAGAATCGAAAGTTAATGCTTCGCAAGACCAAAAATTTCGATCAGGGGAAAGTAACCTCATTTGTTCTCGTCCAAATCCCAGAATCGTCACCAATAACAACTGGCGGATCTCTTTCAAAAAAAGGCAACGTCGATCTCAGACGGCTTTACTTTTACACGACTTAGACATTGATCCCATTGCATTTTCTTTTCAGTTTGCTACTTGCTATAGTGTACAGGAAGTTTTAGTTACCCGACGAAGCGTGGAGAAAGCGACAAATTCAATTAATATACTGTTTTGAAGTTTGATGGAGGACTTGTATAAACATGTATAGCCAAGGTCCGGTAGATGTTCTAAAAAAAACAGAACCACACCCAACACTTTTCACAAATCTTTAACTTTTAAAAGCAATAAAAATCAATTCCAAATTGTAATGTTGATAAGAACAGATATTATTCTGGAAGCAAATCAAGCTTTTCGGGTGGCGGCGGGTGGCGCTTTGATTGCTCAGTTCCGCATTACACGTCAGATGTTTACCGGATGCGAAACAGGTTTTTCCTGTTCAAGGCAACGTCATCAAACTTCAAGTGATTTGAGGGAACCATTATATATCTAGCAGCGACCACGGAAATCGGACAACTCCTGCCAGACGCTGCATAAAAGCTACTCAGAATTTTGCCAGTCAAGGTTAGTACATCTGTTGTGAGAAGGTAAATTTTGTTTTTCAGCAAATAGTTTAGTCATTTATTTTAACAGGTTATGTCAAATTGTAATTTTTTAAAGGAGTCATACGGATAATAGTGCTGAGTCAAATCACCATTCACTTAGGAACAACTGTCCTGTCCAACTGTACTGTCAATGCATGCAGTTCTTTTTTTCCAGATGAATCTCTTTGCTCGAGTTAGGTCGTTTGGATTTCCTTTTAAAAGCTCCAATCTGAAGATAAGATCCTAAAACACGTTAATTTGGAGAAACCTCGTCAAATCCTGTGTTCCTTGTATTCAACAAAGCTTCACAACGGCTACTGATTTCCAATTGAGTATCGACAATCCTTCATGACACGAACATGGTCTAAAAGGAGTTAACATATGATGAATTAGACTCCGTTTCCTTTTAACATAATATGACTATCACAACTACCTTTTTGTTGTCTTCTTATTGGGCTTCAACCGGGATTTTTGCTTCAGTTTATTAAAGCGCTGTACCCCGCAGTCAAAGGCGCAAATTTAAGTCATTCTCTCAATTCAATTCAATTCAATTCAATTCTTTACTCACACTATATAAGATATTTACATAATTGTACGTAGTAGGAAAATAAAGTAGCTGACAAAATAATAATTAACTAAAAGACATTAAGTTCATTTGTGCACGGTGTCCAATGTAGCAAGGGCTTTCTTGTTGGACACCGTCATGTTGAAATAATTGGCAGCAGTAAAGAGAGGAATAAAATCTCAAATAATATCAGTGATAGAACATATAAGCAAGGTCAGATTTGGTTGGTTAGAAGACAGGACTTCCATTCTTTCTTAAACTTATGATATGGCAGACACTTGAGACCAGGCGGTACAGTCTCCCAGATTTTTGGAGCGGAGAATTTAAAGGACGTCTTGCCTACGTTGGTGGATACTCTTGGCCTAAAATAGTTCAGATTACTGACAAATCTTGTATTATGATTGTGTATACGCGATGCTGGAGTCGGGACATCAAGGAAAATATCTGGAATGCTATCAGTCTCATTTCTCATTCTATGTATAAAGCAACATATTTTTAATTTGTATATATTATCTAATTTAACGATGGTTAGGAGTTTGAAATAGGGAGCAGCACTCTCTCTAGGATGTACGAAGAAGATGGTGCGGAGACATCTATTATGCTTAATACGAAGACAATCTAATCTGGTTTTGCTGGCACAGCCCCAAGCAAGAATACCGTAACTCAGGGATATATTAAAGCAAGGGATATATTAAAGCATAATAAATTTGTTTCAGTATATTCAGATCTATGTAATATCTTAGTTTTGAAAGGATTCCTAAATTTTTAGCTAATTTATTATTTACATGTTGTATCTGTGGTTGCCAATTGAGATGTTTATCTATATAAACTCCCAAGTACTTTATGTAATCTTTCTGTTCAATACCAGTGATATTTATCTTTGGGTGGCACCTAGATGATGAGACTAACATGTAATTGGTCTTTGCAGTGTTAATAGATAACTTATTTAGAGCAGTAGTTATAAATTTGTTTAAGCTCTTGATTCATTACGGATTCAAGCTGTTTTAAGTTGTCGCTAGAGTAAAATAAATTGGTGCCATCAGCAAAGCTCCGCACTGAAAGTTTGTCGACACAGTTTGGTAAGTCGTTCACATAGAGCAAAAATGTAAGAGGACCTAGAGTCGAGCCTTGGGGTATACCACAGGTAATATTTTCATAGCTAGATTTAGTAGAGTCAATTTTAACATATTGTCTTCGATTGTGCAAATAACTTTCAAACCAATTACGTGGTGTACCCCGAATTCCATACAGAAATAGTTTAGAGAGCAGTATTTTGTGATTTACTGTGTCAAATGCCTTTGATAGGTCGAGAAATAAACCACATGTTATTTGACCTTTGTCAGTAGCTAGCTTCAGATTGTCAGTAATTTCAAGAATAGCTTGTTCAGTGGAATATCCTTTCCTAAATCCAAACTGATATTTGTACAAGATTTGATGTTTACCTATGAACGAATATAACTGATTATAGACTAGACGCTCGTGCACTTTACTAAAAGGTGAGAGAGTTGCTATGGGCCGATAGTTGCTAGGGTCTGTAGCATCACCACCCTTATACACTGGGGAAATTTGGGAGACTTTTAAAATATCAGGAACAGTCCCAGTTTCAATAGATTGGTTATAGATATATGTTAAAGGTATTGACAATGGCTGGGCAGCTATTTTAATTAATTTATTAGGAATATCTAAGGATGACTTATGATCATTTAAACCTTTAAATAGTGAACATACTTGGGTTTCAGTAACACTGGACATAACAAAGCTAGCTACTGGAGTCGATCTTATGAATTGGGTCGGACTTCCATCACAATTTTCAATTTCCGTTGATCGATAAAGAAAACTTGTTCAAATCACTATGAGCCAACTATGCACTAACAAATGCTGGCTCAGATTTCAGAGCATTTCCTCAGAAAAAGTGACTTGTATCCATACCACACAATTTCACTTCAAATATTTGTTATGCATCTGAAACAAGAGATTGAAGTCGCTACTGTTTTACACGGCTTTCTTTCTCTCTCTGAGCACAGGTAGCCCAAGCTTGAAATAAAAGCATCGGCATTGTTGCGTAACATTCAAAATATAAGGATTTGTATGGGAAAAAAACTATCGTTTCTGTCACCTACGAAAATGAAAGGATTTCAATAAAAAACAGTTTACCTTACTTAAAATGTGTGTTACGTCTCTCCTGTGTGGTCCACGGGCCGATTTATGGCCGTTTTATGCTTTTTTGGAGAAAAAACTGTTTACATCAAAGCCAATAAAACGGCCATAATTCGGCCCGTGGACCACACAGGAGAGACGTAACACACATTTTAAGTACGGTAAGCTGTTTTTTATTGAAATCCTTTCATTTTCGAAGGTTACAAAAAAGATAGTTTTTTTTTTCCCATACAAATCCTTATATTTTGAATGTTACGCAACAATGCCGATGCTCATATTTCGAGCTTGGGCTACCTGTGCTCTCTGATACTAAATGTAAACAGGATCCCTCTGTTCTTGACAGAGATACTTTGAATGACAACTAAAAGATGACACTGAACCCTTTTATAAATTTATCTGCTGTGCCAGACTGAGCAAAAACCATGATTTTAGTCCCATCACTGAGAAATTCCATGTTAGTACAATTTCTTTTATACAGCTCGATGCAAACATAACATGAAGTGTACTGAGAGAAATGAAATGCTCCTAGTAAGTTTCAGCTTGCTTACGGGGAAACATTCCAGTAGACTCATTCTCCATAGTAGATTTGTCGAAATTGGCGGGTACGCAAAGTCAACCGAAGACAGTAGTTTTCCATTGCCGACCCATTTCCCCCATTCAAGCTAACCACATTACGGAATCGCGCTTGTGGAAACGCGCCGCTAGTAAATACAAATTTTTGTCAATCATATGTCTCCTATTATTTGTAGGTGGAAATTGGCGAAACATTGTTATTGTTTTCGAGACAAATAGAAGAACAAAAGATATAGAAGGATCAAGTCATCCGGTCTTAAAGCGTATTGCGTGACTTTAATCAGTTGCAGCACTTTCTCATAGCCTCCCCCGCAGACATTCTTAGGCGTGCGTCACGCGTTCCTTCCCCACGAACATGAAAGGAATGTTGTTCTCGGTTGAGCAGGCGTTTCTGGCGAGGGACGAAATACGAGCTCCCCTAAAAAGGCCTGCGTGGGAGGCTATTAAGGACCGTGATAAGAACAAAGCGAAAAGCCGCAGTATCATGAAACTAAGACAAAATGAACTAAGAAACTAAACAAAGTATTAAGTCTATTAAATATAGAGGGCGACAGACTAAAGGTGACAATAAAGTAACTACAGAAACTGTAGAAAAAAAGAGAGAGAACTTTAGTAACTGTAGTCTTAACAAAGACAAAAAAACGGGCGACCACATGCTCTCTCTATATAATAATAATAATAATAATAATAATAAAAATTATAATAATAATGATGATGGTTTATTAAAATACAGATGGTGGCATAAAAACTATGAATTACAATGTGCTTACATAAGTTACAACTAAAAATAAAATTACATTTGTTTCAGAGGGACTGGGATTACAGGCTATTTATAAGTTATTTACAATTCAGATATAGATAAAGNGATAAGAACAAAGCGAAAAGCCGCAGTATCATGAAACTAAGACAAAATGAACTAAGAAACTAAACAAAGTATTAAGTCTATTAAATATAGAGGGCGACAGACTAAAGGTGACAATAAAGTAACTACAGAAACTGTAGAAAAAAAGAGAGAGAACTTTAGTAACTGTAGTCTTAACAAAGACAAAAAAACGGGCGACCACATGCTCTCTCTATATAATAATAATAATAATAATAATAATAAAAATTATAATAATAATGATGATGGTTTATTAAAATACAGATGGTGGCATAAAAACTATGAATTACAATGTGCTTACATAAGTTACAACTAAAAATAAAATTACATTTGTTTCAGAGGGACTGGGATTACAGGCTATTTATAAGTTATTTACAATTCAGATATAGATAAAGGACAATACTAGAGATAACTAGACTCGTAATATTAGTTAATTTTCGCCATTGCTGGGAAAAAACTAGAACCGAAGCGTTCTGTTAAAACGAGAGCAAATACGAATACCAGGAACCACATTATATTTTTAACTTAATCATCATAACTCTGATAACAAAATTCTCTAATCTGAACGATTGGCTTTCAATTATAATTAGAAATAAGAGAAAAGGGATGCAAATTACAAGAGCAGGAAAAAAAAAATCGTGTTAATAACGAGGCTAATTTATTATTGTTTTTTATGCTGAAGTAATACAACATCACAGCTCACAGCTCAACACGATGAGTCGCTTGCAAGGTTAGTGATCCTAACTTACTTTAGTTTTTTGCTTGGAAATTTTTTTAACACGATTTTTGTTCACTATTCGATTAAGTATGATCTATTTACGGAACCAAGAGGTTGTATTGAAACTTATGAATGGCGCCCATTTCCAGCAATCGAAACTGGCAATGCAAATTTGTGGCTTCTTGATTTTTCATAATTTTCTTAAGTTTGATTGAGCAAACGTTCGAGATCGCCCACGTTGGATTACCAAGTTGCGCAGACACCTCCCGGCTACTCCATAACGACTAAGTTGCTCCCCAAAGTAAATAAGTAAGTTGTTTCCTTCTCAGTCAAATCAATCCAATTTACTAACAGGATTGCTCTTTTCTCTCCAGCAAGTAAACGCTTACAACAGCTCACGCCAACGTCCCCCAGGAACGACGGGTTTGACTTCGCCGACAACATCGATGGTCCTTCATCGACGAAATTGGAATCTTTCAGTCAAGGCTTGTTTGATGACAAAGAAGTCGTAAGAATTCGGGATGCTGCCATAGCAACGAAGTTTATCCAAGGAATGGTTTTAGGAACGCTGAATCCAAAACAATATGGCGGCTTTATGGTACAAGATGCTGCCTATTGCTTTGCTGCTGTTGAAGCGGTCGACAATGCTGCAAAGGAGATGCAACATCAAGGAATGCTTGAATTTTCATCGCTTTACCAGGAACAATCAAAGCTTCTCAAGGAGTACAATGAAGACTTCGTTAAGACCTGGCATCTTAAGAATGCCGAAAGCATAGTAATGGGACGTGCAGCTGATAAGTACGTGAAATATGAGGATGATGTAAGCCGTCAACGTCCTAAGTTCCTAGCCATTGCTATGTTACCATGTATCATGCTTTGGCCTTGGGTTGCCAATCAGCTCATCAGTCAGGTTAAAGAGAATAATCCGTACTACTTTTGGTTTGAAGAAAACAAGATCGAAGAAGGTGACCTGAAGACATTTGTCGATTCCCATTTTAGTCCTGAGGAAAAGGAGGAGGCTCTTGATATCTTCCGCGATGGAATGATTAACGAGTTAAATTTCTTTCGAGATGCATGTAACGAAAGTTTGGTTCACTGTCCCTCTGATCTTCCACCATGTGAACCAAATTTGCCTTCTTGTCTTCTTTTATGAATTAACAGCGTTTATTGCACAATAAACTGAGGAAACAATAATGTGAACTCCTGACGCTTCATTATTCAATTATATATATATTAGGAATACGCATTAACCTGCTGTAAACGCGTATAGATAAGCTGAGTAATAAGGACTTTAAGGAAAGAAAGTGAAAGAAGGCTTCCTTAAATTGTAAGTGTAATATAAGCAACAGATAAGAATTTGTATCAGAAAAACTGATAAGACTCAGAATACATAGTTTTAAATGGGTAAATTTCCTTAATGAAATATAAATAATGTTTGTGCCGTTTCAGTGAGATTTAAGCGTTTCAGTCATCTGGTCAAATTATTATGCGTAGGACAGAACATGGTATGACTTAACTAATTGGAAACAAAATTAAAACAGTTTCACAGGGAGTTAGTTTTCCAAACTCAGTACGTGTACCTAAATGGCTTCGAGCCTTGAGGAGTTATGAAGAGAGAATCAAACGTTTTAGTTTGTTAAGACTGAATTTCAACCGAGACAAGTTCAAATTTCCTTGTTTTGCTGTCTTAGTTTACTTGTCAGGTATTTGTCACTTTTAACTAATAATTCATAGTTCTCGAAAAATAAAGTTGGACTTCCCATATAACTAGTTATAGTTGACACTACAGCTGCCCCCGTCCTGTATATTATCGGTCAATAGTATTCTTGCTCGTTGTGTAGCTCTTTGAAATATACCAATTCACAATGAAGATCACATATTCTATACAATAGGTGAGATAAATACACTATGTTGCCCAGTATCCGGACACTTCAGTTTAACATTGCAATAACTTTCCTTTGTTGATCGCAAGAGCTCTGAAATTTGGCCCAGAGAAAATCTATTTAGTCCTTAATATGACAAAAGACAGTTTAACTTTTTTGCCTCTGGTTCCATCGCGAAATTAATATTTTTGCAGAGCTCCTATGTTGCCCAGTATCCGGACAGCTGGCCCAGTATCCGGACACAACAATAACAACGTAATTGTACATAAATTTCGACAGCCAAACGACTTATAAGCTTCTCTTGCACTTGCTAAGTTGCCTCGCAATCGATTCCAAAAATATAACCTAGCATCGTGAAATAAAACATAACAAATGACTGGGGTATGGTGGGGAACGCGAGCGGTTGTTTAATAGCATAATTCTTACTTCCTTGTCTAGGAACTTTTTCACTGATTTAAGGAAGGCATCCGTGGACATGCCGAAGCCGCGGTTTGCTAGCTCAATTACCCAATCTGCAAACGAATTTTTTTCTTCATTTTTTATTTAAAAAAAAAAAAAGCTTGGCGAAGGGACCTCAATGCGACGGTCAAAGGTCACTCTCCTATTTAGTCTGACCTGCAGTGTTGATTTCTTCAGTCCCCACAGACCCTACAATAAGCCTGCTTTTCTAGCACTAATTCCTCCTTCTTTCACATCTCTCAAGCCCTTTGTGACATTTTTCAGACCGTTGCAACCCCATTCTAGCAGTCACAACTGGGGAAAGTATGAGAATTCCAGGTTCAACTCCGACGCTTTCGGTTATATGTAGAAAATGCAATCACGCGAAACAAGAGGCGCACACGAAATCAAGTCGCCTCGGAATCAGTGAAGAAAATTTCCGTACGGAGTTGAGTAGAATTCCATTTTACGACTATATCATATATCCTAAGCTTTAATTATAGTTATAGATATGAAATAAATCTTATCCGGATAATGTACACGGCTAATTCATCGATTCTGCACAGCAAAGAAAAAACTGTCCGGATACTGGGCACCTGACATCAATACTTAGTGAATGTTTCTGGGCTCCGTTATTCCAAACAAATCGAATTTCAAGAAGAATTAATAAACTTTCTGAGAACCTGACTTCTTTAAGTATCTTCACGTTAAATATAAAACCGTTTCTTTGAAAATATGACATATTACCAACCCTTTTGTGAGCAGCACTAATTTTACTGCGCAGTAAACAGCGTAGATATTAGCCATGAAATGTTTATTCGCCTGAACAGAACGGCCTCTTCTGCGACTGTTTCGCAAGCTTTCAACTCGCCAAAACCTTCATATTAAAGCCGAAATGTTCAGCTTTCATTCGAAATACTTCGTTTACCGATAACTGAAAAGGGCGCCTCAAAAATTACTGGTACCGTCCGGATATTGGGCAACATACAGTACAGGAAACGCAAGGTTCCATGTACAGTTTCAGGTCGATTTACACAGCTTTGATCGAATTAGTCATTCTCAGTTTCGAGAATAGTTTATTCTAAACCATAAGAAAAGATTTACAGTCAAACGAGGTCAAGCGTACCCCGCAAGAATACACTAATGAATTTATTATTCAAAAGTTGAATCCGTTGCTAGTTGTGGCTTCAGATTGATCTCTGCATTCTTGCATGTGTAATGAGCCGTGAATTCACACGCGAGGCCGTTATGAAATTTCTACCAGCTCCATTTTCCTGAAATTGATGTAAATGTCTTCTAAGAAGCTTAATCCATTCAAAGATTTCCAATCTGACCAAATACAGAGAAGTTCTCGTAAAATATTCACTGCTCATTACGCATTCAGAAATGCCTCTTTGAATTTGACACAAGTTACGGGAACGACTAACGGATTCATTTTTCAAATAATCAATTCATTAATAGAATCTTGGGGGGTACGCTTGACTTGGTTTGACTGTAATTAGAAGTTGAATTTTTCGCTATTTCTCTTTCACTTTTTACATTCAGTTCATTTTATTTGCCGGAAAGGAAGCCTTAGGAATTAAAAGGACGTTCGGTCAGTGTAAGACGCAGACTGAGGACTGCTGACTGCAGACTGCGGACCAGGTGTAAAATGCAGGCTGCAGACTGAGAGTAAAATGCAGGCTAGGGGTAAAATGCAGAATTAAGATCGACTGCAGACTTTTTAAACATTTGTGCTCCTTCTTCTCCACATAGGTGAATTATAGCCTCAGAGCAGGCGTTTTATTGTATTGAATCATTTTTTGACTTTCCCCAACTCTCGGTCAGTCGAAAGTCCAAATCGATTGCACAGCAAAATACGCCTGCTTTGCAGGCTAGGTGAATTAGCTAGCTGGTATCAGTTACACACCTCACTTCCTTCTCGAAGTACATTGCACATTCGCCAGAAGTTTCACAGGAACGTCCGAACAGCTTACGTCCGCCTACCTTGATTTGCAATACTTTCAAAGAACCAAAAAATAGTAGTTAACTGGTATTTGGCCAAATGATGTACAAACGCTTAAATTGCACTGAAATTTCACAGAAAGAAGTGACTACTTTTGTTGGGAGAGCGCCGGTCTGCCGAGCGGGAGGTCGCGGGTTCAAACCCCGGCCGGACCAACGCTCAGGGTCTTTAAATATAACTGAGAAGAAAGTGCTGCCTTTGTAATGACATCTGCAAATGGTTAGACTTTCTAGTCTTCTCGGATAAGGACGAAAAACCGTAGGTTCCGTCAAACAGCACTTTCACTGATTTGTTCTTGTGGGACGTAAAAGAAACTACATCACTATTCGAAAAGAGTAGGTGTCGTAGACCCCGGTGGTGTGGCCAACCTTTAGAGGTTGTGGAATTGGGCAGGGATGGCACCTTGTATGGGACCTATGAGTCCCGTTCGTGCACATTCCCTCTGGGCAGGCCTGTGCTGGTAAATAAATAAATAAATAAATAGACTTATAGTATCTGTTTATTCTAATCCTTATTCATACAATTTCTTATGCTTGCAAGCCTTCTCTCACTGTCCCAATTAAAATTTCGCCTAGGCGTATGCCCAGCAGATCAATGCATACGAGTATATCTCATCTCTAATTGAATAATGGGGCATTAGGAATTCACACTGTTGTGTCATTACTTTGTAGTACCACTACGTATATGAATTAAAAATCGACGGGGTAGTCAAATAAGCTTTTCTAAACAAGCATCTCGAAAAAAATTTAATTCGTTAATCATTCCATCGCGGAAGATAGTAAGAGCCTTCTTCTTTTCCTTAGGGCCGAAATGAGAATCAACAAACTTCTCCAGGTGACCTTTGTGATTTGGCTCGGTCTCGTTTTCTTCAAACCAGCCTTTNTCTGTTTATTCTAATCCTTATTCATACAATTTCTTATGCTTGCAAGCCTTCTCTCACTGTCCCAATTAAAATTTCGCCTAGGCGTATGCCCAGCAGATCAATGCATACGAGTATATCTCATCTCTAATTGAATAATGGGGCATTAGGAATTCACACTGTTGTGTCATTACTTTGTAGTACCACTACGTATATGAATTAAAAATCGACGGGGTAGTCAAATAAGCTTTTCTAAACAAGCATCTCGAAAAAAATTTAATTCGTTAATCATTCCATCGCGGAAGATAGTAAGAGCCTTCTTCTTTTCCTTAGGGCCGAAATGAGAATCAACAAACTTCTCCAGGTGACCTTTGTGATTTGGCTCGGTCTCGTTTTCTTCAAACCAGCCTTTGTAGTACGGATTCGACTTGGCAACAAAATCAATGAACTGATTGGCAATCCACGGCCAAAGCATGTGGCACGGTAGCATGGCAATGGCTAGGAACTTGGGATAATCACGGCTTACTCTGCCCTCATATTCTACGTAGGTCTTTGCTGCAGGACCCATAACTATGCTTTTGGTATTCTGGAGATGCCAGGTCGTAACAAATTCTTTATTGTATTCCTTCAAACTCATCGACTGTGACTGGTAGATCTCTGAAAATTCAAACATTTCTTGTTCTTCCATCTTCCTAGCAGCCTCGTCAAACGCTTTCACAGCATCAAAGCAGTAGGCAGCATCTTGCACCATATAGCCTCCATAATAATTTGGATTCAGAGTTCCCGAAACCATCCCTTTGATAAACTCCGTCTTTATAGCAGCATCTCGAATCTTCACAATTTCTTCATTATTAAACAAGTCTTGGCTGAAAGAAGGACCATCAACCACGTCTTTCCTGAGGGCCGTGGTCATGTGTTGTCGTAGGTGTTTGCTTGCTAGAAAGGAAAAAGCAATTAGCTTGCATTGATTTAATAGGTTAATTTGAATGAGAGAGGACCAAATTATTTACGCTGGGGAGCAACTCAGTCGTCGTTTTGGAGTCAGTAAAGTGGCGTCTTCGCATCTCGGTCAGGTCATCGAATTTGCGCAACTTCCAACATCAGCTAAAACAAATGTAAAAAAAAAATGTGTGCGAAGTCTGCTGAATAAGTAGTTTCAGTCTCAATAATCCGTAATAATGTGGACTGTAAAACCTTTCTTTATGTTATCGTAAACGACTATTGTTATGTCTCAGTTTTAATTTCGCGTTTTTAAAAAACTAAAAAGGTCTTAGCGCTGCACTATGGGGCCCGACTTGGTAGGTTTACAAACGATTGTGATAAATCGATGACATCAGATCAGTGAGATCAAAAAGACCTCGTTGAACAATCCATAGGTCACAAATTTACATTGTAAGTTATCGGCGTAGATTGATTAGGCTTATGGCTCATAAGCAAGCCATACATTATGTAATCGAATGTAAATAAATAAAAATAGAAACAGAAGTCGGGGAAAGGGAAGATCCGAGTCAACAAGATGGATAGAAACCTTTATTTCAACAGAGTGACTCTTCAGTTTTTTTTAATTCTCAAAAACTGCTACCATAGAGGCCTTATATAATAAACTAAAATGGAATGGAAATAATAATGATCATTATGTACAAATAAATATAGCTGTAAAATGTCATATAAGCAGATGTCACAGATGTAAGTTATTACTTGAGAATCGGTGGCGCTAAAATACATAACCGTGTCATCAGCGTACATCAATATTTGACATTGAGTTAAGACCTTTGAGAGATCGTTTGTCACTTTAACATAAACCGTGTTCGAAAGATCTAAGTGTTAGTTGGTATCGTGGAGTATACTTGACCAATAGGGTATTCAGTCTCGATAACAGATTTTGGTTGCGAGAGTCAATCATTTAAATAGCGTCATAAACTTGTTCAAACTTCCGATGAACAGATAAGTGTCAATTAGTGAAGGGATTCAGTGATGCTCTTTGGATCGTATCAAGAGGGCTGCAATTTGAAGTACTCTCAAGCCTTGGTCCGTTCGCATGTTAACGACAAAAAACGGCTTGAAAATTTAAATTATTATAGCCACAGTATGATTCAGTTAGAAGTCATGCGGCAAAAATGACCGTTGTCCATGTATGAATGCGCTCCCTTAAGCTTTCGATTTGGGTTGAAATTTTTGTCGGCAGGGGGTCAAAATGACTTCGCCGATTCTGACTTAAGATGGATGTTTTCAAGCATACACTTAACACCTACTTCCACGCAGCCTCGGGGCAAATCTATAGTATTTTCCTAAAAGAGCAATTTTTTAAGGTTAAGCCAAGCCCTTTACACATTGTCGTAGTATTACGTGGCGTCCGCGACAAACTGGCTTTTAATGAAAACAGACCCTAAACAAGTAAACAATGTTTTGATTAACGCGGGCTATATAAATACTGAACAGTTTATTAAACTAAACTAACTCCCTAACTGAACTTTTAACGTCTTAACTAAATAAAGACTGATAGTGGATGGAGGGTTAAAGATAAGCACTTACCTTTCAGGATAAACAACTGTGATAAACTCTGTGCAGTGACCTTTTGGAACGCCAAGATCCGCTGGTCCCTTACCGTTTGGCTGTTGTGTCCTAGTTTTCAGTCATTCTTTCGTCAACTTCCTTCACTCAAGAGCTTTTTGACGCTTTTCTTGCGTTAGGCTTTGACTCTGTACGAAAAAGAACGGAAAGCAAATGTTTCTTCGGGTGAACCTGTACAAGTTGTTACGTAAATTCGTTCCCCCTTTGTTGACGTAATTTCTATCCCTCTGGGGAGCTCAAAACATCGGCAGAATAACAAACCTCAACAACTAATCACAATTAAACTTTGCGTCGTTGCAGTTTGACTGCGAAAACGCTGCAAGACCTAAGCATTCTTACTGGGTGAGAACAAAGGGGTAAACGAGAGAACACTGGATTAAACTTGAAAGCATTCAGTTTGTGTACAATTGCAAATAAAGAACAAGGAAATTATACGCACCGTGCAATAATACACAATGAAACACTTTGAACTTGTGCTAACTCAGGGGCTGCTAATTTCCGTGGTCCTCATGCGTTCTGGTAACAAGACGTTGATAAAAATAACTCAAGGCAAATCTGTTAACTTTCACTAAGAAAAGCTATCACTACAATTCTTTACAATAGAAACAACGGGACTTAAGCAGAGAGCAGCTCTCCAACTGTGACTTTGTTTTCTCTTCTTTCTTGACACAAACTTCACTTACCAAACTAACCCTGATTTTTAAAACCGATCATTTCAGATTTACTTTTTTCATGTTGAAGATAATCTCTTTTTAGCTTATGAAAACTATCATTTGCGAGAAGCAGGGTCCTCACTTAAGGTGTACACTTGCTTTTCCGTTGTACGTACAAAAAAGGGCCGCAAAGCGAACAACAAGATCGCCGGGCTGTGACGATCCAGTTTGGTTTTATTAAACGAAGGACTAAAAAGGCAAAACAATTGTCTCGTACAAAAAACAAAGGTAAATCACAGTTACTGAGATACACNAACCTCAACAACTAATCACAATTAAACTTTGCGTCGTTGCAGTTTGACTGCGAAAACGCTGCAAGACCTAAGCATTCTTACTGGGTGAGAACAAAGGGGTAAACGAGAGAACACTGGATTAAACTTGAAAGCATTCAGTTTGTGTACAATTGCAAATAAAGAACAAGGAAATTATACGCACCGTGCAATAATACACAATGAAACACTTTGAACTTGTGCTAACTCAGGGGCTGCTAATTTCCGTGGTCCTCATGCGTTCTGGTAACAAGACGTTGATAAAAATAACTCAAGGCAAATCTGTTAACTTTCACTAAGAAAAGCTATCACTACAATTCTTTACAATAGAAACAACGGGACTTAAGCAGAGAGCAGCTCTCCAACTGTGACTTTGTTTTCTCTTCTTTCTTGACACAAACTTCACTAACCAAACTAACCCTGATTTTTAAAACCGATCATTTCAGATTTACTTTTTTCATGTTGAAGATAATCTCTTTTTAGCTTATGAAAACTATCATTTGCGAGAAGCAGGGTCCTCACTTAAGGTGTACACTTGCTTTTCCGTTGTACGTACAAAAAAGGGCCGCAAAGCGAACAACAAGATCGCCGGGCTGTGACGATCCAGTTTGGTTTTATTAAACGAAGGACTAAAAAGGCAAAACAATTGTCTCGTACAAAAAACAAAGGTAAATCACAGTTACTGAGATACACAATGGCTTTTTGTTAATGAAATGCGTGGTAAAAACAATGGCTGTCTTTTTAAGCTATTCTGTCTTTGAAATATAAATTTATAACTAAATAAGGCTTGAAAATATCTGTCCATTAGTTTTGTTTGGCCATTTTCCCATAGATGTAGGAATTGTTATATGTCGGAGTTTTACATAGAACAAATACCTTATGAGATAGCAAGCCTGAACGATCCTGCCAGTGTATTCGATAAACCTTGTTTTAGAGGAACTCCAAATTAACCATCACATTTCTCTGTTTCTCCCATAAGGCTGCTTCATCTCATGATAAAAAAGCAAGAAATTTACCTTTTTTTTTTTAATAAAATAAACAACGATTACTGGCCGTTTTGCGGTGAATTACGCCGTATAGAATAACAAGAGAAGCTAAGAGAAATAATATTCTTTGCTGCTATTGCTAGTTCGTCTAGCCTTATAACGATCAATCTGTTATTTGAATGCAACCCTTCTTTCTTAGGGGGCCCTTTACTGCTGTAGGAAATTGGAGAAGTTACAATTATTCACCACATAAGTGGAAACTTAAGAAAATTTGAGTTCACTAGAGATCGGCTATTTGCGCTCTAAGATTTCCTGAGTGCCGCCATTTTGAATGATTACGAGGTCATTTTGTTGCTGTTTTTGTCACATAGTTTCCTATCAGCACCAGACGCGACGAGTTTAATGGGTCAGTATAATGCAGAAAGACCCTTCCGCCACGTTTCTTAATGAGAACTGCTAAAAACTACAGTTTTTATATGGTAGCAGGATTTTCTGGACGGCCCCAGCAGCGCCTGTTGTCATTGGTTACTTTGTATTCACATGACATCTTACAATTTATCTGCTTCCCCCTGAGTGTGAATCAGCAATGGTTTCCGCAACACCACGAAACACCCGAAACATAAGAAGAGGTGCAATGTTACCTTCCAGTGTATTTTTCTGTTTACTTTTAAACAAATTACTTAAAGACTGCAAAACTCACTGGGAAACTAGTTAATTTATTTTCCTTCGAAACATTGAGATATTGTGATTCTAGTGAAATAAAATTACCTGAGTGTCTCTCTCGTGGTCGGTTATAATTATAATAGCTGTTGAAGCCGCAATAAAGTATTAATAAAATCGTATTCACAACAAAGAGAAACATGACTGAAATAGAAACTATCGACAAAAGGCTTAACAGACGGTAAAAAGCATCTTTATCATGCCCTTTATTTAACCCCCGGAGGAAGCCGAAGTAAACAATTATTTAAATAAAAAAAAAGCTTAGTTCCGATCAAATTTGGATATGCTAGGCCTAAATTAAGAAGTTAGTTCAGTTGTTTTAGATAAGATTTCAAGGAAAAGAAAGTAACTGTGTAACAACCTCCTTGGTCTTAAGAAACACCTCTAGCGCAACCGGTTGATCAGGAGCTTGAAAAAGTTGGTGTTTTTAGGACTATCTCGCATATAAAAAGAAAAATTTCAAAATTTAACAACGCCTATGCATATTCTGAATCGATGTGAGGGCAGGTGAAAACTGGTGTGTAAAATTCGTAGACTGGAGAGATTGTACAATCTACCAGGACAAATGTATTGATGGGCAAAAATACATGAAAAAACGTAACGGTGAAAGCGAACGTCACAATGTCACCGACGATATGTACGAAGTATGTATGACTTTTGTCGCGGTAAAACGTCTCAACGTCTCATATTCCTTTTATATTAACACGAGATCGGTCGTTGTGAATTAGCTAGTTTATGTAAATACTTCTTGCATTTTTATCAAAATGACGAACTCAACGTTTTTTTTTCTTCGATGAAAACGCTTCGCCCTTGGACGAAATGATCTTTACCAATGGCGCCGGCAACTCGGTAGTTCCATTTAAAGACACGAAACACTTTTCAGCTTCTGTCAAAATATGGTTAAAGTGTTAGAGGCTGAAAAGTAGAATGCCAAGCTAAGCTTTCAAGTCAGTATTGCTCAGTTTTTTTTCCAAGTTTCTCTTGCTTATGACGATCAACGATGAATCACTGTACCGAAACCATGCCGTAAATATCACTAAAGAATGTACTTGTAACTGTGATGGAGAAAATAATACGAACTTGCACTCGGTTCTTGTCAGGTCCCATTGACCACTACAGAAAATACCATAACATACCATAATACTCTTTGTTAGTCACTCTAAAATTTTGCATAAGAATTGTTTTCAGTTTCTCTTGGGGCCATTTTAACTCCCAAGAGAAACTGAAGACAATGCTTATGCAACATTTTGGACTGACTAACAAAGAGTATTATGGTATGTTATGGCATTTTCCGTAGTGGTCAATTTCTCTTTACTAGCCCATTAGTGGGTGTCATAGCATGCAAATATAGACTTGGTTTATCTTTCTTTCTTTCTTTTTTTAAAATTTCGAACCTCGGGAATAAATTAGATCCAGTATCCGTTGAGCCTTGAACAATAAGGAAAATATGATCGCGCTATTCACTTGGTTCTAACAGCTGCAGGGTACATTTTCAGAATTATCATTTATTATCAGATTGTGAATTATCTCTGCAGCCTTTATATTTTTGCCTTCAAAAAAGCTCAATTAATATCGGGTTTTAATAGCTGAAGAGATAGGCCCGGGTCAAACTTCACCGTACTTGACACGAAACAAACACAATTCGTCTAATATAGCTTAATTGGCAAAGGTTGTATTCCACTCTCTTAAGTGTGGCTTTCGACCCGAAGCTAAAACACTTGCCAATTTATTTATCACTGAACAAGGAAATGACTTAGCTTTATTGTCTAATTTTCTTCCAAAGAATTATTATGACTGGGAAGTAAACTGTTTTCTTTGGAAATCAAGGCAGTGTAAAGTACAAGATAAGAACAGTAAGGTATATGCAAATTATCGTGCATATCAATTGTGCAAAAATCACTAGTTTCTGAATGGAGTCGACAAATTTCTATTGATAAATCTGAAACACAGATTGATATAAGCCTAATGTTGTTGAGATGAATTTCAAATAAAAAGTGGAGGTTCATAAAGAAAACTCAGGTGCTTTGCCTAAAAAGTAATGATAGATTGATTCGAGCCCCAAGGCACGGCAATCCTTTTCCCGTAGCTTGCACTAGGTTGCATAAAAAAGACTTAGCCGAAGCATAAAATAAGGTCTACCATGAAAAAGGGAGAAAAGTTCTATTGGTGAAAATATATTCAGAATCGACAGAAATATCCAATATCAGACTGCGAAACTGTGATTGAATTGTTTTCCTCTCGGCAAGAAATTAGTAAATAAATACCCACCTAAAAATAATCAATTAATTCTACAACCACATTAACCAGAAACTTTACTTTCTCTTATTTTGAAATGATGTCAAGAGCCGAAAAGGTTATTCTCAGTTTCCGTTATCACTTTTTGAGCACTTTTATTCATGAGAAAAATATATTAAATCACCAGAAAAATAAAATGTTGGGAAATGAAGCAAACTCTAAAACTATAAGTCGTTTAATTATTTAGATGAACTTTCATCCTTCGTTCTTTTCAAAAAAATATACTTTGATTTCTTTTTCTTAAAGGGGGAAAATGGTCAAACAAAAGAATAATCTTGCAAAAACAAGAACCATGTACTTCGGCTCAAGTCTTGAAAAGGAGTTTTACATGAGTGATGCTTATCTTTAGTGGCTGATCTAATATTCGATACAAACCTTATAAATTATTAGTGCCTTCATATAAAGTGCACTCCGCAACGTTTCTCTTACCTTCCTTTGTTTACAGTTCTTAGAAGCTTCATCTTGTAGGCAAATAAAAGTAAATCCCTGTTAACAAAAGACCTCTACTTAAAAGATTACGGTACGAAGTATGTTGTCACCTAGCGGAGGCAATTTTCTTCGCAGTAAGAGAAATTCCGTCACAAAAAGTATTCCTCCGAGACACAACATTCTCGTCCTCCTACACAAGAAGTTACAAAATTGTCAATAATTCAACACACGGACTTCAAAACCCGTGGGAGTAAATGTTTTAAGCCAATAGGGTACGAGAGGTAATTCTTGCATAGCTGTTGACCAGATTAATTGTCAGTGACTACCCAGGTTACTACACTGCACTTTTTGGAGAAGGACTGGGAACGCTTTTCTTTCAATTTTTTTTTTCTCTACTGACTTGTGACCGGACACCAGCACCAAATATGAGCAATGGTGAATTAAAAATAATAATGATGATATTAAATGATTATATTTATAATAATGATGATAAAAAATTATTAATAATAATTATACCACTTGTCAGATTTCGTATTAAGCATAAAGTCAAGCAATCCCATATCTCTGAGGGAAACACTTAGAAAGAAAGTTAGACCACAAATATATGATTTGTGCCTTGCTTGTTCAAGATAAGAGGCTACAGGTAGCCTTTTCTCGAGATGAGTCCATTTAGTACCAAATCGTGTGGTGGTAATTGGAGCTCAATCGAAAAAACGTGTTGTCGACCCTGCGACTTCAACCTCCGGCGTCTTCTTGAGGGATATTGGGGGGACTCGAGATAGTACATTATGTATGTACCAATTTTATAAAATTATTCCATTTACGTATAACTAAAGTGACGTAATTCCTAGGACTTCCGCGCTGATATTGATATTTTATCACTGAGAGCAAGCTTATGAAACAGTTAAAACATTCGGTACGTGGCCAGGGAAAGCTTTTAAGAGACTCATCGAAGCCTCTTTTGAAGAATGGGGTAAAAGCAGGATTTCCAAAGCGCTACGCAATCTAGCCTTTCCCCTGCTCTTTGGGCTCGCGCTCTCCGACTAGATACGGCATTTTTTACCACGCAATAAACATCATGACCATGATTTGAGGAGACTGATAAACACTTCATGTCAATTTCGTGATAAGCAGTAGTTAGAATCCTTTGCATCTATGATTTTAACTGTGAGTCATTTTCGGCAGTAGATCGTGGTTCCAAAGCATTTAAAAGTCATATCAGCAAAGCAGCATTTTTTTAACGTCACTATTAATCTTCATTGATGTTTAGCACTATATTACCAATTTCAAAATTTTCATACTTGAAACCACGATTGCATGATTTACCTGCGAAATATAAACTGTTTTAGAAACACAATCTTCTTCTCCAGACGAGATTCAGACAAGAAGCTCCTCTATTCATCTCACTTATCTCAACAAAAATTCCTGTATTCGTAATTATCCTACTTTAATCTATTAACTCATTATTGTCACTACCATTTCAACTTTTCAACTTATACATTTGATTTCTCATCCCACGTATTCAAAACAGAGAGCGTTGAAATTGAATTGTTGAGTACATAACAATTTGAATGTGTATAGTTAATTGAGACCAGTTATGTTTCCTTCCATCACACTTGCTTCTTGTATTATAACACTTTTCAGATTTGTCTCGTCTGTGATAACCCTGATTCGTGGCAACTCATTCTTTTCGTGAGATGCGCGTACCCCTCACGCAACAGAAAAACACGATTACCGAAAGGAGGATAGAAAAAGGGAATTGCTCAATAAGGCTTTGAAATACCTCGTCGCTCTTTCTCACCTTTTTGAATCAGATGGCTCACAATTATCCAGAACAGTGAATACATGTTCAATAGGCTATGGTTTTAAACTACTACTTCTAAAGCTCAAACAATTAAATTGTGATTTGGCGTGATTCTGTGACAGTATTGTTCCTGAGGTGTTCATACTAGTACTACAGCTATTACTAAATTAAAATTTATGGGTAATAAGGAAGCAACCATTTACCTACGACGAGAGCAGCACGCGTACACCGATCGCCTCGAAATAAACTGACGGCAATTTTAAGGCCAAATGTTTGAAATGGTGAATTAGTAAATCCTTAAAGCTTACCGTCACTGACCTTCGTGGTTAATGTTGTTCTCCCTATGTATTGATTATGTTTTAGTAGTGTTTTAGTTCTCCTAAAGCCTTACCAGAACGATGATTTTGTTTATACACTATCCTTATCGTTTATCTAGAGTTTCGATTTCAAATGGCACCAAGGTTACCCTGTTCACGAAGATGACTGGTCGGGCTTTTTTGGCAGTCGTTTCCTCTTTGGATCTTTCCGATAGCGCACGAGGAGCGTACAAAGGCACGGCAAGGGGAAGCATACGCAGGGCCTTGCGAGTCATTTGACAAACATCTTTGTAGCAAAACGTTTGCAGAGTGTATCAGTTTTATAACACTGCAGCTTTAACAATAGTTTGTGAAAAAGAAAAAAAGCAGCAAAACCGTGACGCAAGACTCCGTCATTAAGAGAATTGTCTTAGCCCCTCTTTAGCCGGAATTCGTAACCTCTCAGTTCAGTCTTCAAAGGTACTTACGATTCACTTACGATTGGTTCGGCAGAACCGTTTGTCTGTTGCGATTTTTTCGGCTCGAAAACTGTTTTTTAAGAAACCTTTCGTCGCACTAAACTTTGACGTTAGCCAGGGAAAAACAAATTCAACTATTTGATTTATTCTGCGACAAAAACAAGCTTTTTTAGTGAACAGTCGGGCGCAACGATGGGAAACGGCAATGACTTCGTCTGTACTGACCTTATCATATCGGGCCATATCTTGTCACGTTTTAATAATTGTTTTTCTTGAGCCTTTGGCCTCATTATAATTACGCGCATATTGTCCCTCAACTGATATATATGTTTCTCGTGATTTACACGGAAACGATTGAAGAATGCAAGCGTCATTTTCAAGAAGGAGTGAGTTCTGATTATCTGGTTAAACGAATCTCTTAAAGCCTGACGTCTGTAAAGCACTGTCCAGAATTGCACAGAAAAAAAAGCGCTAGAGAGACTGAATACCATCTGAAACGACAAGACAAGAATAGACTCGTACCAGCGCTCCCTTGTTCTCTCTGTACTCTTGTACCGCTTACAAACCTGGAAATTGACAGCGGACTGAGATGCTTAAGGGAACTGCTGCAGCTTCGCTCCGACATAGAAATCGCGCCGCCACAACCGTTCTTGTGTGTGAACAGACACTATCTGGTATGATTTTCGTGTCGCGATGAAGGCACAAGTGGAGGCATCCATTAGGCTTTAATTGTTCTTTCTAAATTTTGCTGAGTCGTCAAATAAAATCCAGAGCTAAGCTGTTGCCTTCTCGGCTGTCACTATCTCATGATATGGAATGTACTGTTTAGGAAATCTTCCTCTGGTACCAATCCTCTGTTTTTCCTGCTCTTTTAGGAGGGTGCCATTGGGGTTAGCAGTTGATTGATAATTGACCAAAAAAATAGTAGTTAACTGGTATTTGGCCAAATGATGTACAAACGCTTAAATTGCACTAAAATTTCACAGAAAGAGGTGACTACTTTTGTTGGGAGAGCGCCGGTCTGCCGAGCGCGAGGTCGCGGGTTCAAAGCCCGGCCGGGCCAACGTCCAGGGTCTTTAAATAACTGAGAAGAAAGTGCTGCCTTTGTAATGACATTTGCAAATGCAGTTAGACTTTCTAGTCTTCTCGGATAAGGACGAAAAACCGTAGGTCCCCTCTCATAGCACTTTCACTGATTTGTTCTTGTGGGACGTAAAAGAACGTACATCACTATTCGAAAAGAGTAGGGGTCTTAGCCCCCGGTGGTGTGGCCAGCCTTTACGGGTTGTGGGATTGGGGAGAGATGGCACCTTGCATGGGACCTATGAGTCCCGTTCGTGCTCATTCCCTCTGGACAGGCCTGTGTCCAGAAAAGCTGGTAAATAAATAAATAAATAGACTAATAGTATCTGTTTATTCTAATCCTTATTCATACAATTTCTTATCCTATATATTTTGCTTGCAAGCCTTCTCTCACTGTCCCAATTAAAATTTCGCCTAGGCGTATGCCCATGCAGATCAATGATACATGTATATCTCATCTCTAATTGAATAATGAGGCGTTAGGAATTCACACTGTTGTGTCATTACTTTGTAGTACAACAACGTATTTGAATTCATAAAAATGCAACGTAAAGTCACGGAGACAAAATCGACTGGGTAGTCAAATGAGCTTTTCTAAACAAGCATCTCGAAAAAAATTTAACTCGTTAATCATTCCATCGCGCAAGATAGTAAGAGCCTTCTTCTTTTCCTTAGGGCCGACATGAGAATCAACAAACTTCTCCAGGTGACCTTTGTGATTTGGCTCGGTCTCGTTTTCTTTAAACCAGCCTGTGTAGTACGGATTCGACTTGGCAACAAAATCAATGAGCTGATTGGCAATCCACGGCCAAAGCATATGGCACGGTAGCATGGCAATGGCTAGGAACTTGGGATAGTCACGGCTTACTCTGCCCTCATATTCCACGTAGGTCTTTGCTGCAGGACCCATAACTATGCTTTTGGTATTCTGTAGATGCCAGGTCGTAACAAATTCTCTATTGTATTCCTTCTAACTCATTGACTGTGACTGGTAGATCTCTGAAAATTCAAACATTTCTTGTTCTTCCATCTTCCTAGCAGCCTCGTCAAACGCTTTCACAGCATCAAAGCAGTAGGCAGCATCTTACATCATATAGCCTCCATAATAATTTGGATTCAGAGTTCCTGAAACAATCCCTCTCATAAACTCCGTCTTTATAGCAGCATCTCGAATCTTCACAATTTCTTCATTATTAAACAAGTCTTGGCTGAAAGAAGTACCATCAACCACGTCTTTCCTGAGGGCAGTGGTCATGTGTTGTCGCAGGTGTTTGCTTGCTGGAAAGGAAAAAGTAATTAGCTTGCATTGATTTAATAGGTTAATTTGAATGAGAGAGGGCCAAGTTATTTACGCTGGGGAGCAACTCAGTTGTCGTTTTGGAGTCAGTAAAGTGGCGTCTTCGCATCTCGGTCAGGTCATTGAATTTGCGCAACTTCCAACATCAGCGGAAACAAATGTAAAAAATATGTGCGAAGTCTGCTGAATAAGTAGTTTCAGTCTCAATAATCAGCAATAATGTGAACAGTAAAACCTTTCTTTATGTTATCGTAAACGACTATTGTTATGTTTTAATTTCGCGTTTGTAAAAAACTAAAAAGGTCTTAGCGCTGCACTATGGGGCCCTACTTGGTAGGTTTACAAACGATTGTGATAAATCGATGACATCAGATCATTGAGATCAAAAAGACCTCGTTGAACAATCCATAGGTCACAAATTTACATTATAGGTTATCGGCGTAGATTGATTAGGCTTATGGCTCATAAGCAAGCCATACATTATGTAATCGAATGTAAATAAATAACAATAGAAACAGAAGTCAGTGAAAGGGAAGATCCGAGTCAACAAGATGGATAGAAACCTTTATTTCAACAGAGTGACTCTTCAGTTTTTGTAATTCTTAAAAACTGCTGCCATAGAGGCCTTATATAATAAACTAAAATGGAATAGAAATAATAATGATCATTATTTACAAATATATATAGCTAATTTTACAGTATATTCGTCTACAGTGTCTACATTCAATAATGAACTCTTAGCCACCGCGATTTTATGTATTGGCACAGTAGTCGCATGTAGTTATAAACTGTAACTCAATTCTGGAAACTCTCTAGCAAACTAAACAAAACAAACAACAAGGGACCTAAAATTGAACCTTGTCGCTTTGCCAATGCTAACAACTTGCTTGCGATCAGATAAATAGCTTTGGAAATAATCCAGTTCAGTGTTCCTAAGTCCATACGATTCTAGCTTGTTTATCAAGAGATCGTGATCAACAGAACCAATTGCTTTGCGCAAGTAAATAAACACAGCGCCAGTATAAGTAAACTTTAATCCATACCCCGTCGAATGAAATCAGAAATTAAAGGCAATGGCAGCAAATTCAGAGGAGTGATTTGACCTAAATCCACGCGCTGAAAAGGACTAAGTAAAAAACTATTTAAGCACGACAGCACTAACCTTGCATGCGACTCATCGCGTTCAGTTGTGAACTGTGCTGCTGTATATAGCTTCAAGATAAAAAAAAAAAACGTAATCTGGTTATGAAATGTAATTTGCGTTTGTTTGGGATTTCAGTTTTAGTCTGTTTGGTGGTTTGATTAGTATATAAGATATAGTTTCTGGGTGTGAATGTGTATCTCATTTTTTTTATTTCTATGCATACGTATGCCCTGTGCTCTTTTTCTTGCCTCAGAGCCACTGAAAGGTCATTTCAATTTTGGCATCGCCCAAAGAGGCAACCACTGTGTATGCTCTTAAAAACGGTGATCAAACAGTCTGAAAGCCTGGGGTTGAATTCCTAAAGCCTCCTTCTACAGTGGGGGCGGTGACGATAAAGCAGACGTCTTCTAACGTGAGAAAAGCAATTGTTTATATTAAATCGAACATTGGCCGGGACGCGAAGCATCAATTTGTAGTAAAATCGACCAACCATTTTCCCTGCTCTCTTAGGCTTAGGCCATGTCTACAATATACGGGTGTCATCAGACGAACGCCGCTAAAATGCAAGCTATAGCCGTTGGGCCGTCATCATACGAGTGAGAATTCCATCTGAATGATTCTAACAGTGTTGATACGAAAGATACACTTAAAATCCTAGGAGTGGTCTTAGGCAGTAAATTAACATTTAAAGCGCACATGAAGGAACAGCTGAATATGGCCTGCGCAAAGGCTTCGGCCTTGCCGAGAATACGTAAGTTCATTTCTAAGGACGTATTAGTACGTCTCTACAGGGCTTATGTTCTTTCTCATGCACCTAGAGTACTGTAGTCCGCTTTTGCTTGAAGTAGTTAATACCGAGACTACCAAAATAGAGACGACTAACTATTTTCAAGAGCCATAATATGGCTCTCGCTATTTTATATTAAGAACTATGTTAGGCTATTCAAAGTCTGTGTCATACGACTACCTCCTCAAAATACGACGTAGGCAATTCCAATCTTTAGTATGTTGTACAAATGCTTGTACAACAAGGGGGGCACCTTATAGTACCATTAAATTTTTTAATTTTAAGGATGTACCGTACAATTTACATGGGCTTAACACAAGGCTGGATTTACCTCCATTTAATCTGGAGTTTATACATCGATCCTTTACATTTTTAGCCAGCAAACGTTGGAATGCGTTACCTCCAAAAGTCAGAGAATCACAAGACATTGCGTCGTTTACGCGATCTCTTAAAGCTCAGATGGCTTAAAGTGTGGGGATTGTAAATTCTGTAAAAAGCTTTATTTTTAGATTCTGCTTTTAGCCATTTTGTAGATCTATTTATAGTAAGTATTTTAATAGTAGTAATGTATAGGTTACTAGTATACTTTTACACTTTTTTTAAATTTGCGCACACGTACACGTTTTAACGACAACTTTGGTGGTCCTGGGTGTTACGTGTATAAATAAAGGATTTGATTTTGATCATGTTGGCATGAAGAATACTTCGGCCAAGTATGAACACCTGTTCGCCCTGCCACGGAGAGTACAACAGAAACCTATCCAATGATGGATGACGATCCACTTTCAAGATCGCCTACTTTCTCGTTTTCTCTGTCTTTCTCCTTCTCTATATTGTAAATCTGTAGACATGAAAATAGAGATTATCCGATTTGGAAAAATGGGACCTGGTTTCCTAGAAAACTGTAAATCCGATTAATATGACGAAACGGATAGGAAAAAAATTTCCGCGTTCCGCGTTAGTTGTCTTTTAAAGAATATTGAATCTTCTCAGGTGTACGCGTAAAGTTCTAAGACCTGCACGGTTTAAAGACTTTGTTATGTGACGAAGGACTGTGAGCCCTAACTGATAAATTAGCGTACCACCCACCCCACCCCCCACCTTACCGCTATTTTAGTGGAGACTTGGCCTCTTTCATTAGGAATTCCATACCACACCTGTAGTGTCACAAGGGTTGCTAAATAAATGTACTGTTTTATTTTTTACAAAGGCAAAGGACTTTAGGTACTAAGTGATAAATTAGCGTATTTTTCAAGTGTTGCCTCGTCAAAGACGTTTAGGGCTGCCGTTATTGCATTAATTCTCCAAGAGTTCCTTTTTTCTGAGGAAAATGCTCTGAAATCAGCCGGGAGTTTAGCAAATAGTAGCTCATAGTGCTTTGAACAAGTTTCAGTTATCGAACAGAGAGTATGTGTTAATGAAATAAATTTGCTCCTTTGCGGGGTACAACGCTTTCATAAACCGAAGGAAAAATCCGGGCTGAAACAAAATAAGACAACGAAAAGGTAGGTGTGATTGTCCTCATATTATGTTAGAAGGAAACGGAGCGGAATTCATGTTCTGATTTCTTTTGGACGATGTTCGTATCATGAAGGATCGTCGATATTCAATTGAAAATCATAAGGTGAAGCTTTGTTCAATACAAGAAACACAGCATTTGACGAGGTTTTTCCAAATTAACGTGTTTTACGATCTTATCTTTAGATTGAAGCTTTTAAAAGGAAATGCAAACGACCTTACTCGCGAGGTAAAGAAATTCATCTAGATAAAAAAAAAAAAACTGGAGATGCACTGACAGCAAGGAAAATTGTTCGTATGTGAATGGTGATTTGACCGTAACTCTTTCATTTAAATAACAATTTGACGTAACATGTTAAAATAAATTACTAGTTATTTGCTGAAAAACAAAATTTACCTTCTTGCAACAGATGTACGAACCTTGACTCGCAAAATTCTGCGTAGCTTTTAGACAGCGTCTGGTAGGAGTTGTCCGATTTCCTTGATCGCTGCTAGATATATAACGGTTCCCTCAAATCACTTGAAATTTGATGACGTTGCCTTGAACAGGAAAAAACTGTTTCGCGGAACTGAACAGCTGATCAAAGCGTCACCCGCCTAAATTTAACGCCTTTCCCTGAAAGCTTGATTTGCTTCCAAAAAGTTCTGTTTTTATCAGCATTACAGTTTGGAATTGAATTGAATTTTCCTACCTTTCAAAGTTAAAGATTTGTGAAAAGTGGTGGGAGTGGTTCAGTTTTTTTTTCAGTGTAGAACATCTACATCTATATCTACATCTCATCTGCTATATACTAATAAACAAGTCCTCCATCATATTTTCAAAAAAGTATATTAGGGCCCCGTTTACAAGGAGGGAGGGTAACCCTGGTGCTAGGGTTATCCTAGCAAGAAGGTTACCCTAACACTCGCATATTTCTTTTTTTTTCGCACGACGTGTTTACAAGGAAGGTAGGGTTACCCTAGCAAGAGGGTAACCCTACCTGCCTTGTAAACGCTCAGCTAGGGATAACTCGCCTACCCGGGTCAACTTTCCGCCGTCATGCGTCACCAGTACGTAATCGTGCCAATTTGAACGGTATGATGCACATGCGCATTAAATACGATTTCTAAGCTGATTTGCATGTCACAAGACACGCGCGTGAAACAGAACCGGAATACCCTAAA